TAATTTGTTGACCAACTGGATGTGAGAATGAGGGAAAACTGTGCTAAAGCCTGTGTGCCCTTTCTGAAAAATAGCTTGTTTGTCTTTGGTTGGGGTGGAGTGAGGGGACATACAATGTTTGCAAACGCCTTGTTACACTACTCTTCTTTAGAAAAAGTCTTGCTTGCTCCTTTTATGTTGATATGTTTCTCTTGAAATACCAATGTTTCAACAGCAAAAGTAGATTGCAATTGGATGTCACCACCTAAAATTTGCTCTGGATAATGCAATGAGGAGCTTCTCAAAGTTTTTCTCCAATGGGGGGGGCATCCCCAATTTTGGAGGTCATTAAGACAGAAGGGGAGCTCTGGTGGTGTAGTGCTTAAAGCATCTGACTGCTAACCAGAAGGCTGGCAGTTAAAACCCACCAGCCACTCCTAGGAAGGAAGATTGGACAATCTGCTTCTGTAGAGACACTGCCTTGGAAACCCAAGGAGGGGTTGCTACGAGTCAGAAATGACTCGATGGCAATGAGTTCGGTTTGGTTTTAAGACAGAAAATAAAATATTCATCAAACGGTGGACAGCTCTGTTGACCGCGACCAAGGAGAGGTTTACAGTGCTTCTCAAGTATACCGTGCTGCCCTGAGGGGGCTTGGACTTCCTCAGCTTCTTGAACTAGCGGATCTCAGTCTTAATACTGATTTCCCACATGTCGTTTCTTCTTCCTGGAGTTTTTCCATCAACTCCTGAGGTAGATTTAAAATATGCCACACTTTCAACGACACTCCTTTTATCAAGAGATGGGTCTATGGCTCTTCCCCTTGAACCTGAGCAGGATTGTGCTTGCTTCAAACAACAGAGTGTAGTGAAATACTACTAAATTTTACAGTGGACATCCAGACATCCACCACTTAATCAAAAAACAAAACCAAAACCAAAAAAACACCTCACTGCCATCCGGTTGATTCCTACTCATAGCAACCTCTCCTTGGGTTTCTGAGATGGTATCTCTAAGGAAGTCAATTGCCCAGTCTTCCTTTGGAGGAGTGGCTGGTGGGTTCGAACCACCAGCCTTCTAGTTAGCAATGCCTTAGGCAATGCCACCAGAGCTTCCAATCAACCACTTAGGCCCTACCATTAACATTTTACTATATTTACTTTATCTTGCATTTATCCATTACTCTATTAATCCATTAATCCATCTAATTTTTGGATGCATTTCAAGGTAAATTGCAGACTGCAAGGAGGCTAATAAATCAATCTTCATATGCCAACTGTGTCATGTGGAAACTTTGTTGTTGTTACTGTGTCATTGAGTTGTCTCCAACTCATAGGGAACCCTCCTTGAGTTTCCAAGGCAGTCTCACTATGGAAGTAGATTGCCCAACCTTCCTTCCGAGGAGTGGCTGGGGGGTTTGAACTGCCAACCTTCTGGTTAGCAGTCAAGCACCATAGCACAATGCCACCAGAGCTCCCGTGGAAAATTTAGAATGCCACTATTCTGTTCCCAACCGTGAGAATATTTCCAATCTCCACTTTCCCACTTGTCAATCAGCTCTGATGCCAGCTGCCCACGTGGCACATTCCTCCCTACCCTAGCCACCTGGAACTAAGTCAGATCTCACAAGTTAAAAGGACACCATCCTTCAGACTGCTAAACAGGTAGATGCCAGCCACAAGCTCAGGAGCCCACACACACCTTCTTTCACCTGCTGGCTCCTATTATTCCTTAGGGTTTGATAATTCACTGAAATGACCTTCCTCACAGAAGGTACTATACTTATGATTACAGATTTATTATACCAAAAGGCCGATGAATCAGGATAAGTATAAGGAAGAAACACATGAGGTGAGGACCAGAAGGGCTCCCAACACAGAGCTTGTGTCTCAAAGGGGTGTGCTATCCTCCTGTGTATATCAATCTCTTTCACCAGCCAGGAAGCTCTTGGAACTTCTTTGTCCAGAGCTTTTATTGGCTTCATGACTGGGACCTCATTGAATGTTGTTGTTATGTGCTGTGGAGTCGGACCCGACTCATCGCGACCCCTCCTTGGGTTTCCGAGGCAGTGTCACTACAGAAGTAGATTGCCCAACCTTTCTTCTGAGGAGTGGCTGGTGGGTTTGAACCGCCAGCCTTCACTGAATAGTCATGATTAATTAAATCATGACCCTCTTCCTTTCTGAGGTTAGCCAACCAAATGATCTTTGTACTAGGCCAGTTCTCCACTAGTTTGCATAAAGTGTTATCAGGAGATTTTAGATAATGGCATTTTGGTCACTTGGGAAATTCCAAAGGTTATATCTCAGGAACTAAGGACAAAGGCCAAATTGAGTGATTTGCCTCACGCAGACATTGGTATGTTGTAGCTGCCATTCAGTTCACCCGACTCATGGGAACCCCATGCCCTATAGGATCAGATGGTGATGATCTGCAAGGTTTTCATTGGCCAGTCTTTGGAATAGATAGCCAGCCTTTCTTGAATTTTTATTGTGATTTGGGTAAAAATGCACAGAGCAAATTCATATTCCATCAGCAGTTCATACACATTTTGTTTCATGACATTGACTGCAATCCCCACAAAGTAACAGCTCTTTTCCTACTTCCTCCCTGTAGTTACCTCTTCCCTGTGCCCCTTCCTCTGCACTCCTGTCCCCTGAGCTATCTCCCAGTGCAAACACTGCTCTTCTGTTCCCCCATGATTGATCGTTCTAAGGAGCGTATCCACTAGATGTAATTTTCGCCCTATATGCCTGTCTGTTGTTTGGCTAGAAGGCACAGGAGTGAGTTCAATTCCAGACCTGAAGGGTAACTAGGGGCCATGGTCTCGGCGGTCTTACCAGGCTCCATCAGACAGACACACCTGGTCTTTTTTTTCTTTCTGATTTTGAGTTTTGTTGCACATTGTTCTCTTACTCCATCTGGGTGTCTTGACTGGCAGCCCTTCTTCCTGGTCCGTCTTAGTTGGGAAGGTCTGCTGGAACCACAGTTCAGCATAGCAACACACACACCTGTGCTGACAGACGAGTGCTAGCTGCACTGAGGAGCACTGGCAGGGAATCAAAGCTGAGTCTTCCCCATGAGGGGTGAGAATTCTACCACTGAACCGCTTCAGCGTGCATATCTCCAACTAGAGGTCCCTATTTTTTTTTCAATTTTTTTCCAAGGTACAACTTATGTACAATTCACAAATCTCACCAAGTTTTGACAGATATACACATCTCTGTAGTGTAGTGCCTAAGGCATTTGACTGCTAACCAGAAGGCCGGCGGTTCAAACCCACCAGCCACTCCTCAGAAGGAAGGTTGGGCAATCTACTTCCATAGTGATACCGCCTCAGAAACCCAAGGAGGGGTCACTGAGTCAGGTCCGACTTGACGGCACATAACAACAACAACAACATGTAATCCAAATCCCTCCCCAGCATGGCAACCTGGGGACTTTTTTTGTGTGTTATGTGTGATTTGGGTGAAAGTTTACAGTCATTTGCCATACAACAGTTCATATACAAGTTGTTTCAAAACATTGATTGCAATCCCCACAATGTAACAGCTCTTCTCTCACTTCCTCCCTGTGGTTACCTTTCCCTGTGGCCTTCTTTCCCATGTATTCCTGCCCTCTGAGCTATCTCCCTGTGCAAATACTGCCCTTCCGATCTCCCATGATTGATTGTTCTGAGTGTACCTACCTGGTGTAAATGTTCACCCTATATGCCTGTCTACTGTTTGGCTGGAAGCCATGGGAGTGAGTTCAATTCTAGGCCCAAAGGAGGGGCTAGGGACCACCTAGTCTTGGTGGTTTCACCCATCTCTTTCAGACCAGTAAGCATGGTCTTTTTGCAACCTGGGAACTTTTTACATGGCAATTTAAGATCCTAAAAAGGAATAACTAGGTGGAAACTATCATCATCCCTAATCTCGTTTTGGAAACTAAGCAGTGCTACTTAACTGCATTCCATTTGTTGAGGAAGTCACAAAAGCCCATGCAGTTTCAAGAAGGGGCACAGACTCTACCACTTGTCCAAGAACTGCAGCAACAACTTTATAATAACAAAAATAGGCTTTTCAATAACTCAGACAGGAAAAGATGATAACCTAGACTAGGAAGAAGGCAGCAGAGGCAGGAGAAAGTGTTGAATTCTGGATAGATTTTAAAGGCATTAAAATATGGCATGATGTACTAGTCAGCTGACTGTGGGTATTAGAAAAAGAGGAGTCAGGGAGGATTATAAGGATTTTGGCAGGAGCAGCTGGAAGGACGGAGCTGCCAATGACCGATACGGGGAAAGTGAGGGTGGAGCGGGTTTAAGAGGAAGACTGGAAGCCCAGTTTAGGACACCCTGAGTTTGAGATACTCTTAGAAACCCTCCCTCACATCCCACTGATGGAGATGTGGAGCAGGTTGCAGAATGTAGAAGCCTGGAATTCAGGGGCCGGGTCTGGGCTAGAGATAGAAATTTGGGAAATATCAGAACACCGGCTGGGTTTAGACCCGTGAAGCTAGATGACAAAACCTGGGGAGTCAGCAAAGGTAGACAGGTCAAGGCCAGGGCCCTGGAGCACACCAAAGCTGACAGGCTGGGGCACCGAGGAGGCACAACCAGAGACGGCAAAGGAGAGGGCGGTCCTGGAGGCCGCCGAGGAAACGCTTCTCAGATGGAGGGATCAGCTGCATCCAGTGCCGCTTCTGGCTCCAGCAGGATGTGGACTGGGAATGACCACTGCCCAACACTGTAATGGCTTCATGCCTAGGGGAGAGTTCCTGTGGTCCTATCTGAGAAAGGAGGACCCACTGCTGAACTGTGTCAGAGAAAGTGGGTCCCAGGCTTGCCTGGAGACTGGGCTGGACCCCCACCTCTGCCAAGAAGATTCCGCCTCAGTGGTCAGGAACCAGGATGGGGGAGCAGGTCAGAGCCATGGGGAGCTATTTCTCTCAATTAGCACAACCCTTGTCTTTCTAGAACCACCTCAGCCAGCCAGTAACCTGAAAAAGTGTTTATTGGGAAAAGCAATCTGTATGATTCAAAGTCGTCTAGCCTTGAGGGAGAATCCTTTCCTTTGCAGCTGCTGCCTAGGGGACGTGGGAGGCAACCTGGCTGAAGGGCAACAAGACCCCGGGGCCTCCACGTGGCCCAGTAAGCAGGATAACCGGGCATCCACTTTCCTGGAGAAAATGCAGGGGAGCAGAGGCTAGAGTACGGGCTCAGGAATGGGGTCCGGGGCTGTGGATGGGGTTTCCGGGCCTGGAAAGGGCTTCAGGAGGATGGCACCCAAATGGAGTCCCAGGGGATTCAGGGACCTGGTGTAGTAGATCTTGGCCTCAGGTCACCTTTTTTGCCGCCGCAGTTCCTCCCTCTGAGCCCTTAGCACCTGCAGCACGGGATCATCCTGGAACTCGCTGCCGTCGGAGTCTAGGAATAAAAGAACACTAGGGGGTCAATCAGGGGCAAAGACTTGGATACGGGCAGCAGCGTGCACCCTGCTCACCTTCAGCGGCCTCCAAGAGCCGCGCGGCCTGGGACAGCAGCTCCTCCGAGGGGTGGTTGTCAGCGGAAGGCGGTGCCGCGGGCACAGCCTGGAGAGACTCCACCTGGAGCAGAGGAGGCCGGGCCTTGGGAGGCGGATACCCGGCAGGAGCCGGGGGCGTGGCTTCACCTTTCCAAGGCTCCGCCTCCGCTGGGCGGGGCCTGGCTCTGCGGGTCTTAGACCCACTAGGCAGAGTCTCGGCCGGTGGAAACTGTACTTGAGACAGCGGGGGTATGGCCTCAGAGCGAGTGGATGCAACCTTCGCTTGAGGGGGTGTGGCCTTGACCTTCACAAATTCAGCCTCGGGTGGAGGCGGGCCCTCCAGGCGAGGGGGCGTGTCCTCCAAGCTGTCTGGGAACAGCCGAGCCTTCACTACCTGGTCCAGAGCACCTCTGAGCTGCGGGCCAGGTTCTTGGCTAGCTTTTGAGACTTGTTTAGCAAGTTTCTGGCATGGGATTCTGCCCTTCTGAGGCTTGGGGTCCTGCCTCTCAGTCTGGGCGGGGCTTCCAGGAGCGGCGATAGGCTGGTATTGGGGGATTACAGGGGGTGCGGAGGTGACTGCAGGGGTTGCAGAGGTGGAGGACGGTGGCGCAGGAGGAACCGCTGCAAGAGATACCCAGGGGCCAGGCTGCGGGGCCCAGAAGAACCCGTGGGGACTAGGCCCCCAGAGGATGTGTGGAGAGCACCCTGGGGGAACAGGAGGTGTCCCCACACAGAACACCTCTGAGGGACCAGGTTGGGTCACACTGCCCCACAGGGGGGCACATTTAGGCTGGGTTCCCAGGGGACGAAAGGTCTCCGCAGGGGCAAGAGTGACCTGTAGATAGATGGGAACAGGGCCCTGAGAGGCAGAGGAGGGTGGAGGGTCCTCACTCCCCCTTAGGCTTCCTCCCCCCAGCTCCCTCAGGCCCTACCAGCCCTCATCTCACCGGAGTGGTGAAGGCAGGGGTCCTGGGCTGCACCCAGGGTCCATCACCCTTGCCCCCTTGAGCCTGCTCAAGTTTCCTCCGCTGTCGCCACTGGTACAGAATATCATCCTCTGGTCGCAGGGGTGCCCTTGAGGAAACTGGAGCCAGAGCTGGGGTGGGGGCTGATGCCAGGGTTGCTGTGGGGGAAGCAGAGGGGACAGGGGTGAGGCAGGGTCAGGCTCAGGGTGATCAGCAACCCAACAGCCTCCACAACCTTCAATTGGACTGTTAAATGGATTGTCTGAGTTCCAGGTTCTCCTTGGGGAAGGAAGTGGTGGAGGGGTCAGAGTCAGAGAGCAACCATGAGCTTTTCAGCTTGTCAATCATTCAATTATTCATTCATTCAACATTCAACAATTGTTTATTGAGTTCTTACTGTGTGCCAGGCACTGTTCTGTACATTTGGGTTACTGGGAAAAACAAACAAACAAACAAACAAAAACAACTTGCTGCCACCGAGTCGATTCCAACTCACAGCGACCCCCCTTCGATTTCCAAGGTGGTAAATCTTTACGGAAATAGATTGCCCAGTCTTCCTTCTACGGAGTAGCTGGTGGGTTTGCACTGCCAACTTTCTGGTTAGCAGTCAAATGCCTTAGACACTGGAGTTACAGTAGTGAAAAAAACAGATGCCCAGAACCTGCCTGCTTCGCCCGTCCTCCACTGCCCCCACCCCGGTCCAACCCATCACCCACGTGGACTACCACAGCAGGCTCCTCCCTGGTCTCCTTATTTCCTGAACCTCCAGTCTGCTCCCCACCCACAGCCAAAGGGCTCCTGGGAACATCTAAGTCAGATCAGGGTCCTCCTCAGCTCGGAGCCCTCCCCGGGCTGCATCTCACTCCATGTCAGAGGGAAAGGCCTTTGTGTGTGTGATTTCCAGTGCCTGGAGCACTCTTAGCTCAGGTACACAGAGTGCACTCCCTCACATCCTTCAGGTTTTGCCCAAACGCCACCCTCTTAGTGAGATCTTCTCCTGGCTACCCTATTCAAAATTGCAACCCCCCCAACCCTACCGCTCCCTACCCTTTCCATTTTTCTCCTTAGCACTTACCCCTTTCTAACATAATAAATATCGTATGTCTTTATTTATTGTCTCTCCCTCCACAATACCAGGCAGGGATTTTTGTCTGTCTTGTGCATAACCATATTCCCAGTGTCAACAACGTTATCCGTTTCATAAATGCAAAATGAACTGTTTATCATGCTCTCTTCTAGCGCCCAGCCCTGTACCAGGAACAGAGCAGTGGCTAAGACAGCGCTGGCCCCATCCTCAGTCTAGTGAAGCAAACAGATTCCCATCACCCAGAGCATCACCAGTCACGATCAGCAAGACAACTGCTCTCTCTCAGAGTTCTACCATCTGATACTGTGCAGCTGAGGAGGGGTATCATCCTGGGCCTCTCCCTCCCCATCAACCCCCCACATTCTGTGATTCTACCTCCAAAGATGGGCATGTCTCTCCACTCTGCTCCTTGGGCTCTGGCCCAGGCCAAACCACCAGCATCGCTCACTGGATGCCCAGAGCAGCCAGAGGGAGTCTATTAACATCCAAAAGAGATCATGTCCTTTCCCTTCTCAGAACCCTTCTGAGGTTCCCAGTATTCAAGATAAAAACAAAATGACACACCGTGCCTACATGGCCTGTGTTAACCTCCCTCACCTTATCCATACCACTCTCACCCCTGGGTCCACTCTCTGCACCATGCTTCTTCCCACCTTAGGTCCTTTGTATATGCTGGGGGGATCTTGCCCTAACTTCATCATTCATGTCCCCACTAAGACGACACCTCCTCCAGGAAGCCCTCTCTGACTTTTCAGTTCCATGAGCATCTCCTTGTTTGAGGCCATTTTCTGTGCCCACTCCCACTATGCTGTGAGGACCCAAAGGTGGGACCATGTATGGCAGGTGCGGTGCAGTGAATTACTTGGTGTGGCTCTTCTAGTCATGCTCTTTGTGACTCCCACCAGATGCCTGGGGTGACTATGCAAATGTAAAATACTTGTGGCTCCCCAAGGGGACTAGATAGCTTGCTAATAATGTAAATAAGGTGCACGGCACCCTTTTGGGTTGGGACTGTGCAAACAAGGTGTATGGAACCCTGATGTGAGGATTGGCCAGTTTTGCCATCTCACTAGGCTTAAAATGAACCACCCTAGAGATGGAAAGGCATTTGGCTGCTAACTAGAAAGCTGACGGTTCAAACCCACCAGCCACTCCTCGGAAGGAAGGTTGGGCAATCTACTTCCATAGTGATACCACCTTGGAAACCCAA